TAGAGAGAGGCAGGAGGAGAAGAATAGAGGGCGAGAGAGGAGGAGAACAGGGGGAGAGGAGCGACAGAAGGCAGTGCGAGAAGAGGCCTGGAGAGCATTAGGAGAGAAGAGAGAAGAGCGAGAGAGTAAGAGAGAGAGGAGAGAGAAAGAGAGAGAGAGAGAAGAAAGACGAGCAGAGAGAGAGATGCGCGCGCAGACGACGAGCAGAGAGATAGAGCGTTGGATTGGAAAGAAGAGAGAAGAGAGCTTGATAGTACGGCTTACGTTAAAGCTACGGCGCTCGAAGAGACCGTAGACGAACACAAGGCTATATATATTCCATGTCCACGCCACCGGCCTCTTTGATCGCGCTGAGTCGTAAGTGACAATCGACATGAGAGCGATGAGCGAAGGCCGCCGCGACCGGAGAGAGTATTGACGCTAATATATGTCACAGCCTCTGCTGTTTAAAACTGGCCTCTAACACGTGACAAACTGCGTACAGTGTCGCGCAGTGCCGTGTGGCACGTACACAGAAATTCGGCCCGAGCAAATTTGACGTACGGTAGAAAAGTCGACGCCTTTGATAACTCCGACTAGAATCAGTTAGAATAATTATCAGAGTGCATTTATCCGGAGAAGTCGCTTGTCTGTGATGTATGTATATATAGGAAAACGTCAGCATACACGCGTGTGAACCCGCTCTAAGTGCGGTGTTATTTAATTAACCCGAGAATTGCGTATGACGTTGTGTACGTGCGTGCGTGGTACGTGCGTGCGCGTGCTACTGCGTGCGTATGACGTACGCGGCGTCGGTCACGAAGCATTGCATAAGCGATGTCAGATGGCTAGAGGGTACCAGGCAATAAGAGAATAGAGGTGGCGAGAGAGAGAGAGAGAGTAGAGAGAGAGAGAGAGAGATGCATAGGCTGCCCAGGACGGAGGAGAAGACAAGAGAAAGAGAGCCAAAGAGAGACGAGAAGCCGAGAGATCGAGAAAGAAGAATAGAGAGGAACGGGGGAAGAGGGAAAGAGCGAGAGAAATACGATAGATAGCTAGAGAGCAGGAATATACATTATAGATATTATAGAGAGGTAGATAGGAGGTAGAGTAGGAGTATGTATGTTATGTGGTAGGTAAGGTATTATATATATAGAATCTATAATTATATATTGAGAGGGAGAGAGAGGAGAGAAAGAGAGAAAGGCGAGAGAGAGAGAGAGAGAGGAGAGAGAGAGAGAGAGTAGAGAGAGAGGAGAGAGAGAGAGAGAGGAGAAGAGAGAGAGAATGAGTAATCGGCTTAACGCAGTTTTCTAGCCATATCAAGAGCAGTTACCAATACCAGGTACATACGCGGCTTGAAATTCTCTGACGGCTCGTAAACATAAATATATGGCGCAAATTAAGTGCTACTGCGAGTGAAGCAAACAAGTTTGTCGAGCCCTTGAGTGGGTGAATGGATTCACGGACACTGCACCCTGTCGTCTGATAGTTGAGTTATGTACATGATGGATATTTGCGTAATAATGATGGATATTTGTGTAATGACGTAATCGTTTGTGTACATATGTACGTTTTGTATTGATCGTAGGCGTTCGTTTAATGACATTGTTTTATGAAATAATGAAATATTTGTGTAATATGTACGATTTTGTAATGCATGTCGTTCGTATAATGCATTTGTTGTGTAATGATGGATATTTGTGTAATGATGTACGTTCGTATAATGACATTTGTTTGCGTAATGATGGATATTTGTGTAATGATGTTTGTTTGCGTAATGATGGATATTTGTGTAAATGATGTACTGATGTACAGTCGATTACACAAAATTACATCATATGGAGATGATAGCAGAGAGAGAGAGAGAGAGAGAGAGGAGAGAGGAGAGAGAGAGAGAGAATAGAAGGAAAGAGAGAGAAGAAGAATAACGAGTATATAGTTATCCACTGCTACATGTTGGTTATCTATTGTAACTGACTTAGCCTTACACATACTTACTAACTCTGGCATGTACAATGTCGTATATTCGACGAAAGGAAATTATGTTCACACGTATATACGTTTATGTACGACTTATGTTCACACAATGAATCTCATTCATGTTCTATTGGATAAATAATTGATAAAAATCAATTCTAGAATTGATGCATTTTCACTGTTGGTTTTCCCAGTTATATACGACTACCCGTACCTGTGGTATTATCTATACTGTTTACACAGGTGTCATAAATGGTGCATACAGGACTGAAAAATGTTTCAAGGACTTTTCAGGACATTTTATCGGATTCTACACAGAACAACAGAACATACCTGGATTAATTTCATAACCCCTCATCTTAATCCTGTCACCTCTAAAACTTACCTTGGATCACATTAATAAACCTTCTAAACACTGTCACTTCTACAACATACCTTGATTTACTGACCGATTTGCTGACTTACTGTAATTTGTGATCATCAAATTTAACTGTCTATTGTGTCTATAGCTTTTTAAGCGAAATTTAACGAATTTATTTTAGGTTGGCACATTTGTTGATGCGTACAGAACTTTCATTTTATTACAAGCAAGGATTCTTTCTAAAAGATCAAGGACATTTTCATGAAATTCAAGGACTTTTCCAAAAGCAAAAAATCAACATTACTAATGTCAAGTACCTTTTCCTTTGAGGAAGCGACTCCCCTCATTCCAAAGGTACTTTCAGGCTGTGCGAACATGGAAATAATGTAACCGACTGTAATAAATGAACTTTGTATATCAAACATCATTCGCTGTCACGCTCAATAACGTGTGTACGCAACGAACATGAAAATCAATTGACTACGGAAATAAGTCGCATTGAAACTCGAAATAATTAATTTATTAGAAATTTAATATTAGGTAAATATAAAATTCATAAACGACAATCAATTTCCTAGGAAAAGTCCACTCCAACACGCACAGGTGGTAACGATAAAGTTCACTATAACACGAACTTGACTGCTATCACAGTAGTTAGGAAATAGTATGCTCCTACATAGTACATACATAGCCCACAATGCAATAGTCCTGTAAGGAAGAGCAATATGATACAATGAGGTGCTAGTAACAAGGGTGCTAGGCGGCAGATAGAACCTTGCTAGTTATCCGCTGACAATTAATACATTATAATATAATTGTTAAAAGCAAGAAGGACTGTGAACGGAGTGCAAAATGAGGGGGTCGTTATCAAATGACAACTCAACTCGATACTGCGATGGCTTCTTCGATGATAATGAATATATTGCTCTGCTACATCTTTACGGCTGATTGTGTACAGGGGAGCTATAACTACAACAAGTAGTATGTATAACGTAAAAACATTCGTCAAAGAGACAAGTGTGTGTGGATGTGTGTGTAGGTCTGTGTGTGTTTGTGTGCGTGCGTGACTGTGTGTGTGTGTGTGTGTGCGTGCGTGGTCTAGTTGGCGCGTGCGTGCGTGACTGTGTGTGTGTGTGTGTGTGTGTGGTGTGTGTGTGTGTGTGGTGTGCGTGCATGCGTGCGTGTTGTGCGTGCGTGCTGGTGTTTGTTTGTTTATGTGCGTGCAGGTCGCGTTGCGTGTGTGTGCGCTGCGTGCCGTAGTGTGTGTGTGTGTTTGTTGTTGTGTGTGCTGTATATATATATATATGTGTGTGTATATACTATTATATATATGTGTGTGTATGTGTGTGTGTGTGTGTTGTGTGTGTGTGTGTGTGTGTGTGCTGTGTGTGTGTGTGTGTGCATGCGGCGCATGTGTGTGTGCGTGCGCTGCGCGCGCGCGTGTGTTGTTTGTTTGTTTATGTGCGTGCGTGCGTGCGTGCGTGTGTGTGTGTGTGTGTGTTGTGCTGCGTGCGTGCGGCGTGTGTGTTTGTTGTCTTCAATCGGTGCTCGTGCGTGCGTCTGCGGTTGCGTTTGTGGTGCGTGTTGTAGCGCGTTTGTGTGTGTGTGTGTGTGTGTGTGTGTGTGTGTGTGTGTGTGTGTGCGTGTGTGTGTGTGTGTGTGTGTGTGCGTGTGTGAGGGGTTTGATATGGTACATTCTAACTCTACGTTCACATATTTGCTCACATCATTTACGCTCACACAAGTTTCAGATATCCAAAGAACACTTATTTGGCAACGACTTCAACAACTTTTAAAATGCCATCTTTGCATTCACATTAAACACCAACACCAGTTTTGCACAGACATTACACTCTTGTAGAGTATGCATAACGTAACCCTTCCTATACCAATTAGTAACATCGTTACCTGCGGCATCAGACATCATAAGTGTTAAGATGAGGGTTTTGTTATAAATTAGACGTATAGAAGGCCCATCTATGGAGAACAATAGTGGCACACTAGTGGCGCCCTCTCTCAACTGACTTTCATGCGGACGGGTGGCGCCCCCTATCAGCTGCTCTTCGTGCGGACGGGCAGTCCGTACACGACGGGCGCCGCCCCGATCATGTGCTTTAGCTTGCAGCTTCCGCGCGCCTCGCTCATGTGCTGCAGCACGGTCGTCCTCCCATCGCTAGGCAACCAGCATCGCAGCAGCTTCTCGAGGAAACGGTCGATGTCTCGGTCGGTGACGTCCCACAGGTTCGCGACGATGCATGGGCTGCAGCAGACAGGGGGCGCCGGTGAGCATGACCGCCTCAGTGTAGAGTAATTTACGCTAGCGTGCGCACGCGCCTCGAGGGACCACGCGTGTAAACAGATCGCTCGCGCACACACTGAACCACTCGACTCGTTGAAATCTAGACGCACGACAGAATAGCGGGGGTCCGCGTGCCATGTACAGACAATGTTGAACTGTCAACGTTTCACCAGTCACTGTATTCACTTGTTGCTCTCTGCACAACACACGCACGCACGCACGCACACCCCACCACCACCACCTCTCCTGTGCTCATCAGCTACACTGCGCTCTCACACTAACGAACTAACTATAACTAGCTAGCTATAGCTACGCACCATCCAGCGATGAGATAGTTGAGCACCATGCCGCATGCGTCCAGCTGTCCCGCCACGGCCAGCCGACCGCTGCTACAGCCCATCAGCAGCGCCACCGCGCGGCAGTCTATGCGCTGAATGTCGTCGCCCCGCAGGTAGCGCCCTCCCGTGCCGTGCCCGCAGTACCTGCCAGAGGGAGCCACGGTCGTGATTAGCGCCAACGTAAACGATTTTCAAGCTGAGACCGCCGCCACCACCACTACCATCAACAACAACCGCAAAAAAACAACAACCACAACAACAACGACAACAATGACATTCAAAAACAAAAACAACATCAACAAAGACAGCAGTAAAGAAACCCAACAAATTTCAACAACTACACCACCATCACTATCAACAACAAGAATAACAACAACAACAACAACTACTACACCACCACCAATAACAACCTTCAGCTTACGCTATCAACAAAACTCTTAGAACCTATGCGATAAACCAAAACCAATCTCCAATCATAATCACTCATCAATAACGACGTTTTGATACAACGGCGATAACTCGAGCGGTAATTGGCGCACACAGGGGGCAGCACGCGTGCGTCGTACTCACACAAAGTGCTGAAAGTCCGTGAGAGCCTCACGAAACTCGTCCGGAGTCGGAGGTTGTCCGACCACGCCCCGCCAGCTCTTCTCTCTGCGAGCAGACAAACACAAAATATACTTAACTCTTAATATACTTATCTACTATATAATTACATACTTAAATACTAAATCTCATATACTTATCTACCAAATACATGTACATACTTAAATACTAAATCTTATATACTTATCTACTAATCTATCGACGCATCGTGAGAGATCGAGCGGGAGACACGGCGAACGAGGCGCCGGCGCGTCATAGCGCGCTCGCAAAGATCGTTATAGAGGGCGCTGGCGTTGCTCACCTGTCGAACCACGCCTGGAACGTCGTCTGCGTGTTCGGTAGATCGTTCGCCGGGTTGAGCACGTAGAACGTGTTTCTTACGTCAACCTCCCTGCAGATGGCGCCGGCCGGTCGACTACCCTGATCGGCAACGCCCGCCGGCTGGGAACCCTGAGCAGCAACGCTGCTGCGGATGAAGTGAAGCGAGGGCATGCGACTGACGGGGTGAGTGCGCAGGATCGACAGCGACTCCCAGGGTAGGTGCTGAACGCTCTAAAATGTATGAGCACATGCATAGAAACGTATTCGACAGGCATATAATATTATATACGTGTAGGTATATGCATGCGTACAGGTATATATATTCGATACGTATTCGCATGTGAAGGCGTGAGTCGCGACTCCCGAAACACGCGAGGTTTCAATCTCAGGACGATGAAACACGCTTGTAAGCATGCATTTTTTAAATTATTATTTTAAATTATTATGTAATTATTTAGTAAGCTATTATAAATTATTCATGATAACTATCAAACAATCAACATGGTCAACGCACTAGCAACTGCATTATGCTGTGGTCACGTACTGCCATTCATTACCTAATTAATTAAACTAAAATAAATTACTTATTAATGACCGGTGTATCATTTAGTGCCCTTATGAAGTACACTAAATGATGCTATCCAGACATACTGACATCACATTGGTTTACATTATGGAGTAAGGTCCTTTTGGAGAGAGAAAATGAGAAAATTGCAGTAAAGCAGAATGCATGGATGTATAATGCTATGACATGATACGATCTGATGTACGTCAATGCTATATTCACCTTGTCCAGTATGAGAACAGTGGTGTCCCGTGTCACCACCTTCAGATTCAGTTCTCTCGACAGTTTCCGTATCTGGCGATATATTGCATTGTGAGACTTGTTGTTGCTAGGCAACCCCGTGACGTCAGTGATGATGAGAGACAGCTGTTTGGGTTCTAGGTTCGAGGGAGAGTCTATGAGCATCTGAAACATGTGAACATCGCTGCTTAGGTTTTCACCTTCTCCCTCACTTTCCCTCTCTCTCTCTCTCTTTCTTTTTTTCTCTTCCTCGCTCTCGCTCTTGCTCTTGCTATTTCTCTGCTTCACTCCCGCTCTCTATCATTCAAAGCCCATCTTCTATCTTCAGTCAGCTTTATTAATTAAATTAAATTCGGCTGCTTGACACTATACCTGTAGGAGTGGTAGTGACGATGAAGGGAGGCAGATGCTAAATGTCATCATCAGCTCCTTGCTGGCTTTTCTCAGCCTCTCTGCATCTTCCTTGTTGACATGGCAACCAAGGAGCATGCCCTTGTAGCCGCCCAACCATAGATTTTCCATCTGCTGCATCAAATACTAGAAAGAAACGAACAACGAAAAAACAAATATACATACAGAATATACATTTGTACATGTATTGCTTCGCATACGAAATCAAATACTAGAAAGAAACGAACAACAAAAAATACATTCTTCAAACGAAAAATACATAGGGCCTACATACAAAAAATACATTCGTATTGCTTCGCATACGCTAGAGGTTACGACAGGAGATATACGACTTAATGAGAACTTTTATCTCAATTTCATAAAACGATATTCGTAATCGCGTATTTCAGTTACCAGGTTTATCACGTTATAGGTGAAACAGAATAAAATTACGTTAGAAATCTGTATATATATAAGCCTACTGCCATGGCAGCAACACAAGCATGATTATGTTTGCGTTATATTAGGAAAGAACTGCTGGTCCATCTCACCCGCAGCACACGAGATCGAGATTGCGACTGTGCACATGACTGACACTGCTACACATGCCTATACCTGCATCCTCTCATCCAGTGTGTGTCGCGTTCCCCACCAGGTGGCCTTGTCAGTTACGCCGGCCGTCGTGCTGCTGGCCTTCTGGATGCTGAGGTACTCCTCTAAGATATCGTAACCCTGGATACGACAACGATGACGTCACTCATATTTTCATTTTGTTTCGCGCACGTTAAAGTTTGCAATTTTCGCCATCGGCATTTCACATCGTCAATTTTTTAATTTCATTTATCATGCATATGGTAGTTAAATTATAATTATTAATGATTTATATTTTTTAATCATGAAATGATCATTCGTCATTGATCAACTTTTAATTAATTAAGGCAGGCACACAAGCGACGTGAACTTGCGACGAGGGTACCTTCACGACAATCACAGTACCTGTTCTCCGATCGCCATGGCAACCCTGGCGACAAGTGGCTCCCCCTGCCTCCGGAAGCGAACAATGATCAGGTTTGGTGGATGGGCGGGATGCTGTGAAGGTACGACGCTTAACTGGCACACCGTCCAACCTGCAAGGTGCGGCACAGTCATCATGACTACAACAATTAATCTGGCTACGGCTATATATAGTGAAATATATATATATATATATATATATAGCGAAGTATAGTGGCAGCACGTCACTCGGCATATATAGCATTGTAGGTGTCCACCATACGGGTGTCCCTCAACATAAACACCTGCCAGAATTCCCAGTGATATTACAGCTGAGAAAAATCTCAAATTTTCAATCTATACCAAAAATCTCAATCAAATTTTCAACTGCAGTACTCTCTATTGCAGTTCACAATTACATTCATTCTCATTAAACTCTTATTAAGTTAACATTAAAATTTCGCACAACTAGTTTGCAAACAGTGGGAGGCACTGAGCGCGCTAGCCTGACGAGGCTGTGTGACTAATTGTCTATATCTATACTATGATTGTCTAGGGTCTTGTAACCCTAGCAAGACCGTTTCTTGGAGCTATGCGTGCAAGTGCGCTACTACGGGGAGAGTAATTCTAACCGTGGGTCCTGCCATAGTTTAAAGGCCACAGTACACGGGGACGTGTGTACGTCCACACAGCAGCACACAAAGACATAGGTAGTACCCCATACAGCAACAGATAGGATGTTGGAGTCGAGTGAGGCGTGGTGTGTCAGCAGCAGACACTATAGCGTATCGTGCAGTGCATGCACGCGCACCCCCCCCCGCACGCACGCGCGCGTGTGTACGCACCGCGGGGCAGGAAGTCGGCGTCGGCGGGCGACGCGTCGCCAAACCGCAGCAGTTCCTTCGCACTGCTGAGCTGTGCGGCTGTCGGAGTCTTCATGCTGTCCAGCCGCATAGCGGAGAACGCGCTCTCGAGGTCGCCGGGAGACTTTTCTTCCTTCGCAAGTTTCCTGCAGGAAATGCGTTAAACACTGTTAAACGGAAAAGAAACTGCTAGATAAGATGGCGAAGAGTGATGGTAAGGTACCAATGCCATCAAGAACTCTCATATTGCTTAGGTGACTCAATCATTGCGTGCCCTCCACCACACACCTCACGTCAGTTTTCTTTCATAATCACCTTTTAATTATTATTTACTGATTTTCAAACAAGCTTTCTTTAATACTACGAAGCGTCACGTCAAGTAATCCTTAATGAGTCCACAATGCTCTCCTCAATGCAGTCACGCTAACCACTAAAAATACATATATTAATCCTTAACCGCATCCAGCGTTACGAATACTTTAAACGAAATCGTATCAACAAATCCGCAATGAGCTTAGCATAAAAGCTACCTCATCTCAGCTTCTCTCTCTCACCTCGGCTTCTCTCTCACCTCAGCTTCTCTCTCACCTCAGCTTCTCTCTCTCATCTCAGCTTCTCTCTCTCACCTCGGCTTCTCTCTCACCTCGGCTTCTCTCTCACCTGAGCTTCTCTCTCTCACCTCATCTTCTCTCTCTCACCTCAGCTTTCTCTCCTTACCCCAGCTTCTCTCTCACATCAGCGTTCTCTCTCACCTTCTCTCTCAACCCAGCTTTTCTCTCTCTCCGCCTTCTCTCTCACATCAGCTTCCTCTGTGACCTTCGCTTTCTCTCTCACCTCAGCTTCTCTCTCACCTCAGCTTCTCTCACACCTCAGCTTCTCTCTCTCTCAAAGCTTCTCTCTCACCTCAGTTCTCTCTCACCTCAGCTTCTTTCTCACTTCTCAGCTTCTCTCTCACCTTCAGCTCTATCTCTCTTCACCTCAGCCTTCTCTTCTCACCTTTGCTCTCTCGACCCCAGGCTTCCCTCTACCTCAGGGGCTTCTCTCTTCATTCTCAGCTTTCTTCTCACCTCAGCTTCTCTCTCACCTCGCGAGCTTCTCGCTCAACCAGCTTCTCTCATCACCTCAGCTTCTCTCTCACCTAGAAGCTTCTCTTCTCCTCATCTCAGTCCTCTCTCTTCTCACCTTCTCTCTTCACCTCAGCTCTCTCTCACTCTCAGATTTTCGTCTCTCACCTCAGTTCTCTCTCACCTCAGCTCTTCTCTAAAAGCGCTCAGTTCTCTCTCAGCCTCAGCTTTATCTCTCTCATCCTCAGCTACTCCACTCTCACCCAGCTCTCCCTCTACCTTCCAGCTGGTCATTCTCTCTCTCATCTCAGTCTCTACTCTCGAGCGCTCATACTTCATACATCTACACCTTACAGTCTACTCACAACTCAATCTTTTTCTCATCAGTCTTCAACCCCGCAGCTTCTCTCTCATCACCTCAGAACTTCTCTCTCACCTGCAGGCTTCTCTTCTCTCATCCTCAGCTTTCTCTCATTCACCTTCTCTATCACCTCAGCTATTCTCTCTCACCTCTACCGCTTCTCGCCTCGACCTCAGTGTCTCTTCTCCACTCACCCCAGACTTCTTTCTCTCACCTCAGGCTTCTCTCTCTAATCCTTCAAGCTTCTCATCTCTCTCAGCTATACTCATCTCACTCCTCAGCCTTCAGGCTCTCACCCCTAGCCTTCTCTTATATTTCATACTCAAGACTTCTCTCACTCAGCTTCTCTCTCACCTCAGTACCTTTATCTACTTCTCAACCTCAAGCTTCTCTCTCACCTTCTCTCTCATCCTCAGCTATCTCTCTCACCTTCAGCTATTTTATCTACTCTCACATCAGCTTCGTCTCTCCTCATATTACCAAGCTTCTCTCTGACACCTAAAGTCTTTCATCTAACCTCACTTCTCTCTTCAGCCTCTAGCTTCTCTCTCACTCTTCCTCTCCTCACACTCAGTTTCGTCTCGCTCACCCCAGCTTTTCTCTCTACCTCAGACCTTCTATACTCATCTCAGCTCGTCTCTCACCTTAATTTTCTCTACATCTTCAGTTCTTCAGCTTTATCTCTACACACCACACAGGTTCTCCTACTCACCTCAGCTTCTCTCTACACCTCAAGCTTCATCTCTCTCAGTCTTCTCTCTCACCTCAGACTTTCTCTCTCACATTCAGCTTCTCTCTCTCATCTTTCGCCTTCTCTCTCACACTTCTCACTCACCCCAGACTTTTCTCTCTCATCTCATGCTTTCTCTCTCACCTCAGCTTCTCTCCACCCAGTTTCTCTCTCACCTCACCGGTTCTCTCTCACCTCAGCTTTCTCGCTCACCTCAGTCCTACCTTCCTCTCACCCAGCTTCTCTCTCACCTTCTCTCTCACTTCTCCAGCTTTCTCTCACACCTTCTCTCCTCACCTTCTCTCTCACCTCAGCTCTTCTCAATTGAGCATAGCATAAGAGCTACATCACCTTCAGCTTTTCTCTCTCACTCAGTTACTCTCTCACCTCAGCTTCTCTACTCACATCAGCCTTCTCTCTCTCCAGCTTCTCTCTCACCTCAGGCTTCCTCTACCTCACCTTCTCTCTCACCTCAGCTTCTGTCTCTCACCTTCGATCTCTTCACCCTCAGTTTCTCGCTCACCAGACCTTCTTCTCCTCACCTCAGCTTCTCTCTCACCTCGAGCTTCTCTCTCACCCCAGTTTCTCTCTCACCTCAGGCTCTCTCTCACCTCAGCTTTCTCTCTCACCTGCTCTCTCACCCCAGTCTTCCTCTCACCTCAACCCCAGCTTCTCTTCACACACTCAGCTTCTCTCTGCACCTAGCTCTCTCTCTTCAGCTTCTCTCTCACCTCAGCTCTCTTCTCTCAGCCTCAGATTCTCTCCCTACTCAGCCTCCTCTCTCACCGCCAGTTCTTTTCTCTCACCTCAGCTTCTCTCTCACCTCAGCTTCTCTCTCACCTCGGCTTCTCTCTCACATCCGCTTCTCTCTCATCTCGACTTCTCTCTCACCCCGGCTTCCCTCTACCTCATCTTCTCTCTCACCTCAGCTTCTCTCTCACCTCAGCTTCTCTCTCACCTCAGCTTCTCTCACACCTCAGCTTCTCTCTCATCTCGACTTCTCTCTCACCCTGGCTTCCCTCTACCTCAGCTTCTCTCTCACCCCAGCTTCCCTCTACCTCAGCTTCTCTCTCACCCCAGCTTCTCTCTCACCTTAGCTTCTTCGTGATCTGCAGGCAGGCCTGGTGTCGCAGCGTGACTGCCGCAGCCTCAGCCGCGTGCCGCGCCGCCGCGCGCGGGTCCAGCGTGACGTCACAGAGCGCTCGCAGCAGCATCACCTCACCGTAGAGCGGCGACGGAGGATGCTGCCGCAGCAGCGAGGTGGCTTCATCTAACAGCAGCTTCACGGATGCAACGGAGAATTCTGCGAGCAGATATTCAATGTGATTGTGATCACAATGACAATAATAATATTAAAATTATTAATCGTTATATACTATATATATATATATATATATATACTGAAAATAAAATAATAAATAATACAAATAATATAATATATTATATAATATAAATATGTAATATATAATATGTATATAACTTAAATAATAATATTAGGAATAATTAAAATATATTTTATTTTTAGATTTTTACTCCTGATGTTCGTAATACAATAATGCAGAATGGTTTTTTTCCTGCCAATTACAACAGCGCAAAAATTCGTTCGAGCGAAAGATTATCGCGAGTGATTAATCCAAGTGTGAAATTCTGAATTTTGCGTTCGTTAGAACTTAATTCATCCATTTCATACTCGCGACACAATCACAGTCGTAACTACATTAATATTCACTGTGCGCTAACTAGGCGACCTAATTAAGAACTCTTAAGAATAATTAATTCTAATTAATCTAAAATTAAAACTAATCAAATCATGATTAATGAACGTCTAATTAGCGCGTAGACAAGGAGAGAGATGCTCACCTCTGTGACGCACGACGCCGGCGCTGAGCGGAGACATGCGGAGGAAGCTGTCCGAGTCGTCGGACCTCCCCCCTCGCACGCTGCTGCTGCGTAGCACCTCCACCTCCTCCGCCTTAACCTCCTCCTCCTCGACCACCCTCTCACTTTTTGCCACGACCTTCTCTTTCTGTTTCGCGTCGATCGCATTCTTCCTCCTGCCTCGGCCGGACTTCTCTCTCGTGGGTTCCTTCTTCGGAGGCTTCTCCTCCTTGGTAGGTTTCTCCCTAATGGGCTTCTCCCTCGTAGCTTCCTCCCCGGCAAGTTTCTTCCTCGTAGTGGGTTTCTCAGTGGCGGTCTTCCCCTTCGCGGAGAGGCCTCCTGCGGCGGTGGCCTTCCCCCTCCCGGCAGGTCTCCCTCTCTTAGTCCTCCTCAGCGTTGGCGTCGTCTCTTCCTCGCTCGCCGCCCGCGCGACCTCCACCGACGCATCGAGGTCGACCTCGTGCGGCGCCCCCTGGCGAGCGACATGGTCGACGGCGCGTCGCTCCGTCAGCGCGTCCGGTGACGTCGCGTCTGGCGCCCCCTGGTGGGCGACGTGGACGTCGTCGGCGTCGGACGCCGCGTACGAGTCGTCGTCGCACGCGGAGGAGTCGTCGTGACGGAATCGTTCCGTGTCGCCGCCGTGCTGCTGCTGCAGCTGCTGCCCCCTGGTGACGCGCATCGGCCTCGCGACGGCAACCTTCTTGGCGCCCGCTCTCTTTTGCGCTTTCGTCTGATTCAACGTCTTTGCCGGTTTCGCTCGAGACTTATCGGTTGGAGCGTTAGCGGTTGGAGAGTTGCTTCGAGGAGACTTAGCAGCGAGAGACTTAGCAGCGAGAGACTTAGGAGCGAGAGACTTAGCAGACGACGGGTTGACGTCCTCGGTCTCACTCAGACGTGTGAAGCTCGTGTCCGTGGACACCACCGCCGCCGAGCGCCGACCCCTCCAGGGGGCGCCGGCGTGGCACCTCACCGTCTCCGTGGCGACGTCATCTTCGCTCTCGCTCTCCGGCTCGCGCACGGGGTTCAGGTTGGTGCGGCGCGGCGCGCGCGGCTTCCGCGGCGCCCTCTGGTGACCGGTGCGGCACGGCCGTGGCGGCGCCGGCGAGTTCTCCTTGCTGTCGCTATCGCTCCCCAGCGGCGCCATCTGGCGGACGGCCGGTCGCCGCCGCCGCGGCTTGAGCTTGCGCGCGGGGGTCTTGTAGGCGGCGATGACGTTGTTGCGCTCCGTGAGGATGCTGGGGCTGCACTGCTGCTGCGCAAATGGCTTCACATCTCCGGGGATGCTGGGGATGCGGTCTCTCGTTGTCGACGGCGACGACGACGCGCCGCTGAGAAAACGAGCGCGGCGCGCGGCCGGCGTCATCGTCACCGCCTCAAGCGAGACGCGGGTCGACCCCTCGCCTCGTGGCGACGCCTCGCAGTAGCCGACGCGGAATAGCGAGTACGGGTCGCACGCGCGCCCCTCCGCCTCCTTTCTGATGCTCAGCACTGCCTCCAGGTGGAGCAAGCGTGCCCTCAACTCGCCGTGGTGCCCTGCGAGCAGCTGCTGCCCTCTGGCGAGTTCGGCCTCCGCCGACCCGATGTCGTCGCCGCGCAGCTGCGCCGTCGCCACGACGACGTGGTACGCCGCCCCGCTCTCGGCGAGTACGCTCCCCGAGGGGGCGCCACCGGGCGCGACGCCGAGACGCTCGACGACGACATCGCGCAGCGTCGCGGTGGCGCCCTCTACGTGTGCGTGTGCGGCGGCGCGGGCGCGGGCCGCGGCAAAGCGCCCCGCCAGCAACTCCCCATCGCGTGATTGGTCGTGGAGGCAGCGGGCGCGCAGGGCAGACGCGAGCGCGTTCAGCAGCTGTAGAGCGACATCGCCGCAGCGCGCGCACGCGCACCCTGCCGCATGCTCCGCGCCTCCACGCCGCGTTTGCCGCGACAACGCCGGCGACGACGCCGCAGCGTTGGATGGTGGCGCCCCCTGCGGGGAGCTCAGCGGCCGCGACGAGATGAGGAAGTCGTCGGCCGCCGACGCGTCGTCCGTGTAGATCGTAAACGGGGTGGCGGTTGCCCCCGACGACGGCTTCCCACCGCGGCATCCTCTCAGCATCTTCCCGGTGTCCCCCGCCGCCTTCCCGCTTGCCGCCTTCTTCTTCCGGCCCGCCGTCGTCGGGTTCGCAGGCGTCGCCGTGGCGACGGTTACCGTGGCGACGAGGGGAGGCGCGGAGATGGGCTCGGCGTTCAGGGTGTAGTCGACAGAGTCCAGCATCAGTTCACAGTCGAGCGGCTGTCCGCTTCTCAGCTCTATCTCACACAGAGAGAGACGCAGCCGCGCACACCTGTACGCAACACATGTACAGGTAAATACACAGTCGCACACACCTGTACGGAACACAGGGACAGGTACGTAACACAGCCGCGCACACCTGTACGAAACACACGGACAGGTAAACAGCAGGAAGTAATGCAGACGAACAATCCATCTACCTCGATTGACTGATAAATCGGTCTCAAGAAACACTAACGAATCAGTAAGTGGAAAGCAATCAAGCTACTACATGAGATGCTCCACTTAGAAGAACAAAATTTGAGTCGGTACCATCGTCGGTAGCCTGACCTCCATCAAACATGCCGCTAGAAATCTGCTCTAGGACAAAGCTGCTTACCATTTCGTCAGACCGAATCGCTCGGCATAAGTGAGCCCTTCCTTCAGGTAGGTTTTCGCTTCTCTGGCCAGGCCGCAGTGCAGGTAGAAATCCCCAGCCTGGTGCAGTGCACACAACATGTCTATGAGGATCCTGTACCTGAAACACAATCGGCGAATTCTAACGATTTATCAAAAAATATCAAACGACTTGACATCTCTTTGACCCCAAATTCCGAGCTATCGTTTACAATGTGTTACGGATACCGTCTGGGTTACAGACAGGTACCACTTCAAATGCTCATTACAACATAACTTGTCACGAAATCCAACCAAACCCACACCTATTTAATGAAAGAGATGTTTCTCTACACCATGAAAATAATGTATTCGCAATCAGTGTACTATGATAATTTATAAATAAAACGACTCGATATCTGTTCGACCCTGAGTCTGAGTAATCGTTTACAATGTGCTATGGATCTGAATTACTACCATCATTTATGAATAAATACAATCCTCGCACAGATCAGTGACGACCTTACAACATCACGGGAACGACCTTGCGACGTTACCGGGATGACCTCGCGACGCAGACGACGCGTAGAGGGCGCCGCGGGGCGGGGTACCTGGTGACGAGGCGGGTCGTGCGATCGACGCACGCGACGTCGTCGTCGCCGGCGGCGGCCTCAGCAGCGTCGCGTCCCAGCATCAGCTTCGCTATTCCGATCACTGTGCGCAGTCCCTTTTCGCCGAGCTCCAGCGGCGAGCTGTCGTCCTCGCGTAGCGACGCGAGCGTGCTGCAACGTTGGGGGGAGGGGGGACGTTAACCGTAACAGCCGCAACGACGGAGGTCGTTTGTGTGTGTGTGCGTGCGCGTGTATATGCATGCTTTAATGTTAATCTGTTAAACAACCGTCACTCCCCCCCTTTCTCATTAAATCTTTAATCACCAGAGTTCCTCCGTCTCTGCTCTCAGTCAGCCCCCCACCACCGACCCATGCGTACCTCTGGTGCAGGAAGGTGCGGGCGGGCAGCGCCTTGTATCGCGAGTGCAGCAGCGCCGCCGACGACCCGATCATGTAACTCGAGCAGAGCTTGTTCTCCAGCAGGGGGCAGCACAGTACGCGCGACAGCAGCGTCCAGCCTCGGTCGAACTGCGGTCGTTAGAGCATTGTTAGTGTCACTGCTACGTCACAGCGAGTTTAGGTAGTTTTTTCATATAGGACTATCCTGCTTGTTCAGGACCTAGCTTGACAGAAACCATACCTGCAAGTACTGTATCGAGGCTTGACAGACGCGCCAGCCTTGTTGTTGATTACCTGCTAACGATGTAATTAGCGATACCACGCACCTGTTCGTTCAGGTAGCACACCTCGCTGTGTGCGACTTGCCAGGTGAGCCGAGCCACCTTCGTCTCCTTCTGTTCGGTGTCCTTCTCCTTCTCCGCGCCGGCCTCCACCTTCTCCCCGACAGCTGTAAGCAAAAAGGCGTGTTAACGTCGCGTGCCGCAAGAAATCAGCCGGGAAAAAATCAGAGATATCGATTGAAATTTAGAATAAACACTTAGAGATTAGGATGAAATGAAATAATTTAAAATTAATGAAATTAATTTAAAAAAAATTTAATTTAATGCACTGGCTTTTCTCTGCTGGCTTTGGTTGCCGCGGCAACGCGGCGTCTTACCCGCGGCGACGTCAACCAGCCCGACGGAGCAGAGCGCCCTCACGAGGTTCGCCGCGTTGGTCAGAACGACGGCGCGGGCGCTCTCGCAACACGCCGTCGCAACGCGGTGCACCAGCACCAGTGTCTCCACCTGCAGGACGGGCTGGAAACAAATGGCGTGGAGAAAAACAACGTGTAACAAACAATAAATCGCACGGCAAACGCGGCGGAACTTCGGAGCTGCGGGTTTTACCGATGACAGTAACTAATCGGATAATTTCAGCCTGTACGCTTAACTACACATTAAAGGCAGTTACACGACAACAACCTCAACGTCAGTGATCAAACATGGCGGCACTCACCTCGAGAATTAGCTCAAACATGGCCGCCAGCAGCTCCAGGTTTCTCAGCAGGTCGGTGACGCGGAGGTCGCGACGAAGGTCATCGTCGGTCGCGCACGCGATGTCCCGCCACAGCGCGAGCGCGGCACGCAGCGCCCCCGTCATCTCGCGCTCCTGCTGCAGGGTCACGTGACTGCTCGTCCGCTCGTCAAACGACGCCACGTCTTCGCCGTCGTCGTTTGCCCCGGTCGGCGTGCCACCAGAGGTCGCCACTGTCTTCGCCGCAGCCTGTAAAGGAGCGTGGTGAAAAATGTGCGCATCCATTGCCTCGATCGTAGGCTGTGTAACGTGTTAGCGATGACAGGAGTGCGTGAATGATCACCCGGCATTCATACACAGCAGCGAGACGAATACAAACACATACATTTTTTTCAATTTTTCGACGTTTTATCTTCTTTTAATACGGGACAATATAACTACAACTTTGACATGCATAGGACCCTCACACCTACACTATATGTTTTATACAAAGTATAAATAATATTTACATATATATTTAGTATATTTTATACAAAGTATTATAGCACAAGTATTATATATTTGTTCACTCTGCCCACCCATCCAACCCACCACCGAAATGAAATTCACAGCGAGACTGCAAGATTAGGCCACAATTGAAAGAATATTTGTTTGCCCTCACCCGACCCAGGCTGAAAAGTTTGGGTAGGTAATTAGGCTTTTTTTCGAGGGGGGTCTTTTTACAAATTCAGCATGGTGTCTACACGCTCGGGTGTGCTTGTGTCGAGATACCTTTTCTGTTGAATGTTTGTTTTGCTTGGTACATATAATGTATTGCCTACAGATTTATATAATGTACAGTGATACAATTTGTAAAAAAAACGAATGGGAAAGATCAATAAAACTTTTTGAGTCGGCCCCTTTTCGGCTGGTCGGTCGGGTGAGGGCAAACAAACATTTAACAAACATATTTTTATTATGGCCTTAAGGCACGGCCATGCTCGATGCTCTGTATCGTTGACTAGCCACGCCTCGTCGACTGCGTACCTGCTCCTGACGCGCCTGACTCTGCATGACATACAGCCAGAGGTGTGCCGACGCGAGGTGGTGCTTAGCGATGAGTGAGGCAGCGTGAGGGATGCTCGGCTCCAGCAGTGAGATGGCTTCCTTGCAGCACTGCTCCGCCGACCTGAAGCAGAAGAATCGTCGCTATAGCGAGATTCTAATACTAGCTAGACTAACGAGTGTAGCAAGGGTGTGAGACTGAGGGAGACCGAGCAGAGAGCGCGTGTAGCAAGGGTGTGAGACTGAGGGAGACCGAGCAGAGAGCGCGTGTAGCTAGAGTGCGAGACTGAGGGAGACCGAGCAGAGAGCGTGTGTAGCTAGAGTGCGAGACTGAGGGAGACCGAGCAGAGAGCGCGTGTAGCTAGAGTGCGAGACTGAGGGAGACCGAGCAGAGAGCGCGTGTAGCAAGGATGTGAGAATGAGG